ACTGGAATATGAAGGGAAAATATGGGAATAGCATTATCAAATTATAATACAAAAAGAGGAAAGTGTTCCTGTGTTCTGGGATAGTTTTTTTTTTTTTTTCCTGCTGTCTGCCTCAAAAACCAGAGCTCAAACAGAAACAGTCCAGAATGTAAAGAAAAAGTGAAGATAATTAGAGCAGAGAGAGGGATAAAGCAGGCCAGCTTCCACTAATTTCCACATTTTCCCAAGTAAGAAAGAAAAGAGCAAACAATTGCAGTACCATTAAGACTAACAAATGAAATAACTCATCTGCACAACAGATCAGTATACCTGTGGATTACCTGACCAAGATCCTAGTGAATGAAGCCAACACCTCAGTCCTTTATGGCAATGACACGGATCCTTATATGGGCCATGATTACAAATATAGATACATTTAAGAAAGAAAACGTATTTTCATTATAAGGTTTGTACAGGTTGCTTTTCCAATGAAAATGAATCATTGCTGAATGAGACTCCCAGCTGGGAGCCAGTGTGCAATCAAACCAGCAGAGCAGTCTGGAAGCAGGTGGCATGGTGCAAATCCAGTTTTGGGGGTTTGTTCCCTCATTGTTTTTCATTGTCTTGGGCTTGGGGAACACTGCCTGCAGGGAGAGTCTGCCATCTTGTCTTTGTCTCAGGAGGCCATGTGGCACTGGGTAAGGAGAGGGCCCACCATCTTGTCTTGGTCTCAGGAATAACTGCAGTGCACTGCCAAGCCACAGGAACATCCCCCTGCCATCTGTCTTTGTCTCTGGAATAACCACTGTCATTGCCAAGACACAGGAACATCCCACTCATCTTTGTCTCAGTGGCCAGGCAGAGCTAAGTCAAGGTGGTGAATGCCTTCTGTGTGTAAAGCACCTTCTCTTTCTGTACACTTTTGTTATTAGATTGCTGCTGTCCCTGTGTGTTTCTTTACTCCATTGCTGCTGGCTTTCAGTAAATTGTTATCTCAACCCACAGTCAATCCTTTGTGCCTCCCTCACCAGAGGGGAACAGGGGAAGTTTAATTCCCAGCTGGTGTTAAACCACCACAATAACTCAAACATTTAAAGATGACAAACACTTCCCATTCATCCTCACAGAAACTGTATAAGAAAACCATCTATTCCGGTGTGAGGGTGCACATTTCCCAGAAAATGCCTTCAAATGCCCATTGTAGATATGCAAAGACTATGTCTATAGTTTGCTGACATTAGAAAGCACATTTAAAAAATCTTTTTATTTTCCAAATAACAGTCACTCAGTGTCCTAACTCATTTAATCTCCAGCAGCAAGAATTTCTTCAAGGAATTACACAATTGGCTGAATGTAGCCCATTGTTATTTCAGCATTTTTGTATTGCCAAGCAAATAATTATACAGATTTTACAGTGGTTGTTAAACAATTGGCTACTCAGCAGAAATTCATGTAAGGGATATAATTTTAGTATTTCTGTTTATTAGTGTTTTACTTAGTGCTTCCGTTCATGGACTGAGGTTCTATGCTGCTAGACACTATCCAGACACAAAGCTGCTAATCACTTAAGAGATTCCATAGTCTGAATGATTTAATACACATAAATGATTATTATAGATGCACACTTATAGTATTTTATAGAATAATATGTATATTACAGAATAATATGTATATTGTAGAATAATATGTATTCTATAGAATACATATTTGAAATGAGGACAATCTTAATAATTTATTGTATTTTTCAATAGTTCAATTTTTTTTTTTTTTTGCATAGGAAGGAAAATTTTCTTGATTATTTTTGCACTGTAATTAATCTATATTGTCCTTGGTTTACTAATTTTGTGTAATCAACAATACTGTTACCTCCTAATTTCATATAAGGTGATTGTTTCCATTTTCAGCAGGATCAAGGAAAGAATATTCTCATGACTTGGGAGTGAGTATTTTCAAGCAATAGACTAGAGAAATAATTAAGAAAAGTGAAGATCTAATGCAGTCCTTTTGGTACCAGTCAGCTTCTAACCAGAAACATTCTATAGCTATTAGCAGCTAGCTGCTAGTTCTGTGGTTATAGCAAGAAAATAAAGCTGTTGTGAATCTTAATTGGAAAAGAATTGAAAATAACAGTACTTGAACACATAACCTTGGTGGCGAGTGCTTAGTTGCCATGGAGATTGGCAAAGACTTGCAATATAGATATCTAATCTTCACAAAAATGCACAAGGGTACTGGTACACAAAAATACCTTCCCTGTAATTTGGAGCAGTTTCATAGCCTGTCTATCATAAATTGGCATTTCGAAAAGTCAGGGCTGTGACTGATATGAGACATAGTGATTTAATCTAATTTGTGAAAAACAAGGAATTGTCACATGCAGCAATGAACAGAGAGCAATTTTGACAAGGCAAAGGCAGAGCTGACAGGGACTCCCACTCACCTTCAGGAAAATATTTAATTGAGATTCAGCTCCAAACAGCACTCCAGAGGAAGCTATACTTTGGTAATGAAACTTAAAACTTTTGTAGATACCTTGTGAGTTTCTTTTGCCATTTGGCACTCAAACCCAAGAGAGGAAAACAGACCTTTCTTTTGGGCAGGACCCCCAGGATAAAAGTCACAATGGCAGGCTTGATTCAGGTGTCCCAGGAGAGTGTCAGCCCCAGCTGGAGCAACTGATAGCAGCAAAAAGGGCTTTGAGGGATGAAGGTACCTCAGAGCATGGGCTGCTTCTTATGTGAAGTATTTGCCATCCCATTCCAAGTGACCTGAGGGAGACTGGGTCCGTGGAGGTAACTCACTGAAACATCTCTAACTGATTGGCTTCCCTCTAATTAAATAATAATAGGCATTGTGGTGAACAACATGATGTAAACCCAATAGAGACACTGAAATCTGATTCTGGTTTGCTCTCTTTTTATACTGCTGTAAAACTGGACTGACACAGTTGTGAGCCAGGCCCCCAGAGCAAACTACACCTAAAAATCATCATTGTGGTTTGTGTGTTGTGCCATAAAGGACAGGTCTGGCTTAGACATATTCTGCTCCTGGTTTATGATCTGGATTTAAATTAGCCTCAGATGCTGACATCTGGGGTTTCTGGACTCTGTAAGCTGTGGTGTTGAGAACTCTTTAGGCTGTAACTAATGTTTTGTGAGACAGCAAAATCCATCCAGGAGCTCTGAGACCATGGCTTAAATGTTACCAAGATCAGAATTAACTAAAGCTGTATCTTGTTGGATGGCCCTTCAGCTGCCAATGTAAAATTGTTTTTTGGCTTTCCACCAAAGACAGTAAACCAGGGTAGTCATTCCTCCTTTGAACATTACACAGATTGAAGAGTTAGCAGTGAAGCATGCCAAAAAATAACTGAAATAATATTAGCATGTCATTATTTAATGGAGTTAACCAAATTAACACTGAATCTAGTCAATAAGTACAGAAAACACTCTTTCATTTCTCTTTCTTTGAGACTGTACCCTTAAATTAGAGCTGCCAGCTGTCTTTAAATGTGTGAAAATGAACACTAGAAAAAAATGTATTCTGGGTCTGATATAAAATGTTTTCCAGTATGTCTTTCCACTGTGTCCTGGGAGAAAACTACAATTGTTTTTGTTACAGGAGACAAGACACCACTCACATTCCTTGTGCTCCCTCTGGGAAGGGAAGCATATCACAGAATCAATTAGGTTGGAAAAGACCTCTGAGATCATCAAGTCCAGTCTCTGATCATCACCGTCTCAACAAGGCCAAGCCCTATGTGCCATGTCCCGTCTTTCCTTAAACACTTCCAGGTTCAGTGACTCCACACCTCCCTGGACATTTAATTCCAATGTTTAATTGCCCTTCCTTTGAAGAAATTCCCCCTAATGTCCAACTTGAACTTTCCCTGGGGCAGCTTGATAGTAGATACACCTCAGATCCTTTTTAAGCAGTGTGATGAGCTGGGCTGCTGGGACAACTGGCTCTCAAGTATCCAGACTTCAAATATAACACCTGGGGCTTCAAATGCAACATTTTTTAGAGGTGGCCTTACTGCCTGGCAGCTGTGGTGTTGGCAGAGCTTGTCTGACACACCAATCTCCACTTTCCTTCCTCCCAGCAGTTTCCTTTCAATACTTGCCACAGAATCACAGGATATTCTGAGTTGGAAGGACCCACAAAGATCATTGAGTCCAACTCCTGGCCCTGCCCAGGACACCCTAAGGGTCACACCATTTGCCTGAGAGCATTGTCCAAACTCTCCTTGAACTGTCAGGCTTAGTGCTGTGACCGCTTCCTTGGGCAGCTGTTCCAGTGCCCAACCATCCTCTGGGTGAAGAATCTTTTCCTAATATTCAGCCTAAACCTCCCCTAACACAACTTTAGGCCATTCCCTCGGGTCCTGTCACTGGTCACCACAGAGAAGAGATCAGTGCCTGCTTCTCCTCCTGCCCTTGTGAGGAGCCTGTAGGGAGCCATGAGGTCTCCCCTCAGTCTCCTCTTCTCCAGGCTGAGCAAACCAAGTGACCTCAGCCACTCTTCACACGGCTTCTCCTCCCCACCCACTGCCGCCTTTGTTATCCTCCTCTACAGCTTTATATCTTTCTTATATTGTGGTGCCCAAAACTGCACACGATATTTGTTTAAAGTGAGGCCACAACAGTGCAGAGTCTGCTCCACTTTTATGAGTTACCATCGGGTCACTTTTGTTCTGGAAGAGCTGAAAGCCCCAACTCTTCACCCATTCATCACTTTGTAAGCCCAGTGACCCCATAGCTCCGGCAGGTGGGCTGAGACGGGGCCTGGCCGAGGAGGAAAGCCGCCTCTCCTGCTCGCCAGTCCGGCGCGGCTTCCCTCCCCCTCTGCAGCCCAGCAGCCGGACAGACAGACGGACGGACAGACGGACGGAGAAGGGCGGGGCCCGGGGCGCTCCCTGCCCTGCCGCCCCCGGCACCTGCCGTGACGCGGGCGCCGGTAGGGGGCGCTGCCGCCCGCGCGGCCTCAGGGCGCGGCGGGGCCGGAGCGGAGCGGGGCCGGGCCGGGCCGAGCCGGGGGTGCGGGACGGCCGCGGCAGCGCTCACACCGCCCTCACAGGCTCTTCGCTCCGCGCCTCTGCTCCGCTCACCCTGCGAGTCCCAGCTGCCCCTCCCGCACCGTGCCCCCCTCCACCTTTGCCGCCCGCCGGCTCTGAGGGCTTGAACCACCTCCCGAAGGAGGCGGGGAGCGTCCCTGGTCTGAGGAGCGGAGCGCCCGACCCGGAGCGGGAGTTCGATAGGAAAGACGCGAGCTCTAGAGGAGCAGAGGTGCGGGGTTTGCAGGAGTGGAGGTTCGGGGGGACGCGGCGGCGGGGAAGAAGGCAGGTTTTCCCCCAGAAGTGAAATAGGGTGTTTTACTTACAACGGGTGTCGTACCTCAGGCAGGTCCCGGCGCAGCGCGATCCGCTCGCTGAGCACCTCGTTAAAGCCGTGCGTTTCCAGGCCGAGCGGCCGCTCCCCCGCCGCAGCCCCTTGCCCGTCCTGCAGGGGCAGGGACAGCGGCTGGGACTCGGGGCCCCCCTCTGCCTTCCCCTCCGGCCGCCTCCCCTGCTGCTTCACCACGCGATAGCCCTTCCTGGCCCGGCTGTGGTTCCTTTTGCCGGTGGGCGACACGACGGCCATGATCAACTCATCCTCCCGCAGGGAGATGAAAGGCGATAGACCATCCAGAGGGTAATACTGCTGGCTCTCCTCCTGGGTTTCCAGCATCTCTTGGGTCTCCACAAAGTCCAGCTGATACCCTTCCCGGGGGTTGAACTCCACAGGCTGGAAAGTCCCTTCCTTGCTCTGGTTGCTGGGTGGTGGATTCAGCGTTGTAACCATCAGTAGTAAAAACCCCAGCATCAGAAACAACAAGAGAAACTGCAGCTTACGTGATCCATATCTGCACTTCTTCCTCAAGAACATACTGTTGGTGACAAAATTATACAGATGGTCATGTTAAATATCACTTGAATCTTCCTCAGATTTCAGTCCTCGGGTTGCACAAAAGCCCTGGTTTTCACTATCTGCCAAGAGGATTTTTTTGCTCCCTTCACATTTCACTGATGCCATTTCATGCTTTCCTCTCTATTTACAGAAAAAGAAATTATAACATTCCTATTAATATTGTACTTACTGTAGTAAAATGTAGCATGGATCCAGTGAGATAAAGTAGATCCTTTATTATGCGGAGTCCCAGCTTAGTTAGAAAAGTGCATGCTTTGCTGATTGAAAGAGTAGCTAAAGCTTTGATTTTTTTTCCCTTTTAAAATTCTAAGTTGAAAGAAATCCCATTTCTCATAGTTCCTTTCAAGGGTAGATCCTGCTTCTTCAAAGTTTCCAACTGCTGCCTGGATTGAAGCACTGTATCTCAGAAAGCAGATCTGACAGCTCTCCCCCGTTCAGAGGCTTCAAGTTAACTGTGATCAACAGATGAGAAGTAGTCGGTCCCTGACTTTGTTTCACACATAACTACGGCACTCAGTCAGGAAGCACTTTGCCAGACATAATACAGAGCAATGTGTGCGTCTTTCTCTCGGTCCTAATGCCCTCACTGTGCTTGTCCTATCAAATCAAAACTTTGCAAAAGCTGTACGAGATGACATACAAGAAGCAGAATGTTGTATTAGAAAAGAAATCAAGGCACACCGCAGACTGCTATATGTTGGAATAACTGTAATAAGCTGAGAATGCACAGAGCAAGAATCAAGAATTTTATAAAGTGCATAAAAGATGGAGAGCACATGTTTTATTTAAGGTTAGATTTATTCATATGATAATGTGTTAGCTGGACTATATTTCATATCAAATAAATATTTACAGCTGTAGGGATTTTAACATTGACATAAGGGTGCCAAATTATCACCTGGCAAGCTGAAGTTGTCTCCTCATCCATAAATTTGGTATTGCAGAGCAAGCAGCACTTCAAGTTTTCGTTAGTCCAGGAATAACATATATAAAAGCCTTGGCTGGAACAACAACCACTGACACTGAGAGAAAACAACAACTTCTGTGATTAAACGGAGAGCTCAGTCTCTGAGGTCTGTTTGCTCATACTGCTGGCATGGGTGCTACTGGGCATGGACAGTGGCATTTTTTGCTGCAAGATGAGTGCTTGTCCAATGGGAGAAGGGGTGAGACAATCCACGTGCTTCAGCATCACATGCCTCTTGCTCTGGCAGGCAGAGACCAGGGATGGATGCAACTCAGGTGTTGCCACCCCTTTTGATGCTGGGGGCATGGGATGTGGTATTTTTCATACCATGCAATATTTGATGAGCAGAAAGCTCCTGCTCCAGGAGGCATGTGATTACTGGAGAACTTCCCCATTCACAGATTTTAAAAAAGCCCTACATTTCTAGACATTATAGCTAAAAGAATAGCCTGAAGACAGGCATGCAGTATACTCTAAAGAAAACCAAGGATATATGACTTTTTACCTTCTTTGCTATTCCCTTTAAGATGTCCTGTAAGTTCAAACTATGGTTCCTGGCATACAGTTTCCAAAAAATTAAACATGAGAGGACACCTACTTTCTAATTAAAATGCATCACAACTTTCTAAAGCAAGGATGGTGTAGAGCACCATAAGATTGCTGGAGGCACGTAGTGTCTCACTTCTGTGTGCACTTCTCTAAGCAGCTTATACAGAATGCCTTGAGGGAGTGTGACTGGTCTGCTGTGTCTTGGCACCTTCCCTGCATCAGCTGTTCTTTGAAATATACAGAACTGCTTTAATCATATCTTGGAAAGAAGGAAGATTGAGCCAGTATTTTGATACTTCACCATTGTATGTATCTCCCTTTTTTAGCTTAAATTCACACAAAAGTTACATCCCAAACTCACCTTCAGCCCTGAGAATATTACTTTTTATCCTGCTTTTCATAGGGAAAAAGAAGTATTGATGGTTTCAATTCAATAGGGAAGCAGCACACATTTGCATTAAAAAATCAGAGCTAGAAAGCACTCATTTAAATAACAATGTTTCAGCCATAGAAAGACAAAATGAAATGGAAATGAAGAGACCTGTCCGAGATGTTCTCCAAAAAGCTGGCCCAGTGACGTCAAAAGGTTCAGTTCCACAAAGTCCCATTATCAGGCATATGGAATAAAATTAAATTAAATTAAAAGGAGAAACTCAAGAGTGGGTGGAATAAATGGGAGAAAGCATTACTTTTTCTTTTTTAACTTTTCTGGGTTACCTCAGTATTTTGATTCAATTTAATTAATATTTTTCCCTGGCTAAAATATTTTAACAAGATGCTGTAACAAGTCTTATCAAGATAATTCCAGCCTGCAGTAGAAATCGCTGTATAAATTCTGTCCCGGTATGTTTTGTATTGCTGAGCAAATCTACTTCATCTGAATTTCAGCTACAGATGAAAAGAACCCAATTAACAAATTTACAGCAATCTTAGACACTTTTGGGACAGAGCTGGTAGGTAACAGTGATAATGAGGTTTCATTATCACTGAAACATGCATGTGGAATCCAGCCTTTTAACATATCCTGACCATTTTAACAAAGAAGATGTGAACAATTGCAGAAGATGTTTGTTCAGTCTAGTCAATTAAATGTGCAAGTATAAAACACTGGGTGGCACACTTCCAGCAGCCTCTATTCCCTCTTCTGCACAACAAGCCTTCCTGAACCATTTCCCATCAAACAGTCTGTTTTTCAGTCTTAAAGCAGTGGTTTTCCACTGCCATCATATGAAAGAGATATTTTCTTTCCAATGGATGAGCCTCCCTTTAGTATCTGACAGGACATCTTGTTTCCTTCAATGCATTTGAAGAGCAGCATCACTGTTATGATCTCCCCACATGGAAGTCAAGAATGCAACATCCATTATATTTTTCTTCATACTTCTGGTTCCTCAGGCATGCTACAAAGTAGACCCTTCACTGGGATACAGAATGGATTGCTCCTCCTGCCTAGTTGTTGATGATTCCCTTTCCTAGGGTGCTTTCCTGTGCATCCTTTGATGGAAGGGGAAGGAGCACTGCATGGCTCAGGTTCCACTGTCAGACCCAGAGCCATTGCCTTCATCCTGAGGTCCAATCTTTTAGGTGCTGCTATGTACAGATAGCCCACAAGCAGGCTGCCCACAAAAGGTACTGCTGCCCTTGGACTGCTGTTCTACAGCAAATCCTAGAGCTCTGTCGGGTTTTCTCGGCTGTTTGAGGGGCCTGGAAAGGCCCGAAGTGGCCTTGGGACAGCCCGCGTATCGAAGGACGAGAAGAGGCTTCAGTTCTTCTTTCGGTTTTTATGTTTATTAATTGTTTATCTAAAAGATGTTCTTTCAGCCCGACAGAGATCCGCTCAGCAGTCAGCCATGAGCACACTGTGCCGCCCTCCAGGCAGCCACCTATCTTTATACCCATTGTTATGTGTACAATATTTATCATTTTTCCCCAATACCATTTATTCTTATTGCTGGGTGCACTTTCAGTAATAACCAATCTAAAAGTGCCACCATCACCAAAGAAGATGGAGGAGAAGAAGAAGAAGAAGAAGGACAGGACACACCCCAATTCCTCCATCTTACTTCTCTAAACCCCCCTGTACATAAATCCTAAACCCTGTTTCTCACCCTCTAATTAACTAATCCCTTCACCATTCACCCCGGTGAAGCCCTCATCCTTGTCGTCTCCTGTGTAGGACCAAAGTCCAGCCACCAGACACTTCTGGCAACATTCCAGGACTCCCGAGCCCCCGAAGGTGGTCTCGGTGGCTCAGCACCTCAGGACTGAGATCCTGAGATCCGACAGAGCTCCTCAGTCCCTGCGAAAGGAACATGTTACAGTTTGTGCCAAGTACACCAGCAATTGCTCACAAAAAGGGCCAGTTTGCAGTGTCAGTATTGGCCAGTGCCAGTATTATGTTGACTTTCCTGCTGGTCAACCTATGCAAGAGCTGAAAGGCTTGTACTCCTACCAGGCCTGCTCAGGTGGACCTAGTGGTAGAAATCCCAGTGGTATAAATACCTTCAGCAAATGCAAAGTCAGTTATTGACTTCCCTAAGAAAATATTCACCATCCTTCACTATTGCAAATATTGCTCATTAATTGCCAAGAGCTGGAACGTGAAATCAAATCTAGGTCTCATTAATTCAAAAGGCATTAGGAAACACAGTTGCCTTATTGCAGAGCAACAAACCTTTCAGTCACTGTTCTGTAGCTGTTTGTACTTACCCTTTCCTCCCCACCTCATTTTGGCTCGCATTTTTGTCCAAACCATTCTGCATCACATACTTGTTCAATATTACGTGACATGTTATGTTATCCG